AACAACGGAACATGACGTCGTATTCGTAAGATTCGGATTTAGATTTAGATTCAAATTCAAATCCATCGTCATCCTACTACCACCTATAGGTCCCTAGCAGCTCAGCTAATCCGAGGAGTCAATAGAGGTATGATAGTAAATAATTAATCATGAGATTATGAGATTATAGCTTATGCTTATACTTACTTATGCTGAGAATCCATTTGAGGGATACTTGGAACGTGGAGATGTATCTACCTACCTACCTACCTACCTATCTACCTATCTACCTATCCACCTATCCACCTAGTCTGAGCGAGAACTGCTTGACGAGATTCGTTGACTACTCTTTTGAGAATTCGAGGAATTGAAACTACGTAGGTACCTGCCTAGTATTCATTGAGAGGGATTGAATGATTGATATGTGATATGCAACTAACCAACTGACTGACTACGACCATACAAAAACATACTCGATTTAAAAGCGATACTACCTACCTAGATAGATTATTCTCAAATTCCCGTTTATTCCTGAAAATAAATACAAGAGTCTTATTTATATCGAAAAAAAATCCATAAAAATATAGCAATACATGAAAACTTAAACTCCAATCACTTCCCAAATCACCCCATCCACCTATATGTGCCTATCATAGAGAGCTATCTAAATTCCATAATTAATATTCGCTCAATCTTAATTTCTTTCCAATTTCCCTCCTTCTCGCATTAGCATTAGCCCGTTCGGAAGGTCTCGTATTCGAATCATCTAGACCTTCACCTCTTGCCTTGAGAGCTTGAAGAAGCATGCCTGCGTCGAAGAATCCATCTATATTTATGTATTAGTGTGACTCTTTTGATTACATGAAGAACATTTAAATGGAAATTGAGAAAGGGAAGAAAGGAAAAGGAAAACATACATCCACCCAATCCCTCATCATCACTAACAGCCGCACTCTCATCAGCCGGCGTCATCGTCCCGGGCGTTCTCTTACCCAACTCAGCAGCTCTAATAACTCTTCCTCTACTCTTTAACTTTTTCCCGGCAGTGGGCCTATTAGCACTAGCTTCTCTCGCTCTACTAGCCTTTGGACTTGTGCCTCTTCTCGTAGATTTCAACACTCTCCTAATTTCGAGCAAATAACTCTCAAGAGCATCTACAAAGCGTTTGGTTTGACGATGCTTACTACTAGCACAAATGCTAATTCCCTCATCCTTAATAATATATCCAATTCCAAATCCGTCACCGGAAGTAGGACCAAATCCAAATTGGCGAAGTGATGGATTACCGCAGTTGGATGTTGAGAGGACAGTTGTGTTGAGTTTATCCCAACCACTGTCTGCGAAAAGAAGAGGCATGGAATGATTTGATGATCCAGGGGTAGAATTACCTCGAGCGCGGGATGAGCGACGCTCAACTTCATCGCCATCACTCAAGATTGAATTCCGGCCTGGACTACCAACTATAGAGTTGTCTCTAGATGAACCTGTTTCAACAGGGCTGGAACATCCATTGCTGCTCAATCCATTACTACTAGCAGCCTCAGCGCCATCTTCATCAACTGCTTTTTGCCATACACTAAAGAGAGCATACAAGTGGCGATCGCAACCTTGGGCTTTCGCGCATTCCTTTGTATTAGCTGTATGTTTCTGACAAGCTTTCTTCAACGCCTCAACTTTTTGTTCCGGAGGATTTTCAGCCCAAAATTTCTGTACGAAATCGACTGATTCAGGCGTTACAGATCGTATAGCTTCAGTTCTTCCATGAAGAAAAACTTTCGTCATCGCTGGTTCATACGTACATTCCACTCTACCATATAAACCATAATATGCAGCCTGAAATGCCATCTGCACGAAAGCATCTGGAGAAAATCCCATACTCGTCATGAAATTCTTTCCATAAGCTGCGAAATCGAGGGTTTGGAATTCATTTTGTTGAATGAGATCTGCAAGACGAGTTTCCGCAAAACGAACGGCAATACTGAGTTCGGGTATCATATCCCATTCTAATTTGTGAGGAGTAGTGCTTACATCTCCAAAACTAGCCGGGTCACGTTTAGCTGGATCTGGGCTGTTCGATGCCCAGAGACTGGGTGCCTGTCCATTGATCGTACGGGCAAATCGGAGGATTGTGTCTGTATACACATCGCTTGCAAATCGAAGAACGGTATGTCCATCTACACCGGTGTGTTCGAAATTGATACCTGCACTGCCATTTTTGCAAACGATAATTTGTAATTTGTCGTACCAACGATTCGTGCATGTTCCTATTTGAACACCCTTCTCAACTTGACTAGTCCCACAAAGCATATTTTGACATAAATCTGCTTGGGAATTGGGCTCTGCATAATCAAGGCAGAGGATGAATAAGGCAGAGTCTACTATTCCAAGACAATCTGCATTATTTGATCCTTCTTCTCTGGTCATAACATCTCTCAGACCTGACCAGATTTTTCTATTCTCAGTACTGAGAACACCAAGTGCACCTTTAGCGGCATCTTGTATAGGAGTTTGTTGCGCGTCATCAACGATTGTTTGTAAATTAATCGAAAGGTCTCTTTCGGTCATGATTAGATCCGATTTGTCATCAAGAACATCAAACCAGTAAAATTGCCCATGACAAAGTACTACAAGATGCTTTGATTCTGGATCTTGTCCAATATGACATCCATTCTCGGTAGGTACACGTGCAGTGCCGAATAATCTTGAGTATTGATACATGCAGAGAGGCGTGCCTCTTACTGTGTCGGGAGGTAACTCTTCTCTTCTAACCGCGCGTACGAAAGACAATGCAGATATCACTAATGAGGCTGCACGAGTTACTTGGTTGTTTCTTGCAGGTGTTGGATCATCCTCAAGTAAGAAAAATGGGTTGAGGTTCAGAACAACGGGGTTGTCAAAGTTGAGGTATGAGTCGTACCCTAGATGTTCTATTAGCATGGCAGACACGGTGAACTCCTAGGTATACAACATACAAAACTGCTCAATATAACTAGTCTTTCCATTTGCATACTTCTTCAGTCTCTCGTGAAGTTCCGGTCCATCGTTTTTCAGGAACTCTTCCACTGCTTGTTTGGTTTCTGCATGTTCTCTTGGTGACTGTAATGGCTTTAAAGCTGCCAGATATTTCGTCATGCTGCCGTCCAACTCTGGTATCGGCAGCTTTGGTAACTTGTCTTGTGCAGCAAAAGTAATTCCTTGCTCATGTTTTGGCTGATTGCTAGCAAGAGGGTCTCTTTGGTCCTTTGAGTAGCCATCATTGACCTTCTTTGCTCCTTCCATTGATCGATTTGCGTCTGGTGCAGCATTGGCAGGAGGCTCTCCTACTGCAATTAGGGATTCATTTAAAGATTTAGGCATCCTGAATGTACGGACGGCTGTTGTTGAGGTAGGCATCTTGGTTAGCTTAAAACTTTTAAGTTTATGCGTATAATGGAGAAATAGAAGTGCAAATATTCAATCCTCGCAGTGCTGTGCGGTAGAAATAATGGCAATCGTAAAGACAATAAGACGGCATTACATTAGATACATCAAATCCTCTGCGGGGGAAAGTATTCTTTTAAGGAGGAAATGGTTCCCACGGTAAGCAGCTACCAACAGCCTTGGTTATATCTACGCAGCAGAGGTAATACACTATCATGAAGCAATGATCGGAATCCCATATCCCCGCAACTGGCCTTCTGCATTGGTTCACGTAGAATATCATTGGATAACTTGATCCGGCCATATGGCCCATGCAGGACACAGGTCTCCACTTCCTTACACTAGTTAGGATGATATTCCGAGCTTATATGATATCCGCAACGCCGAAGCTCTGATAGCTTGGCACTGAAGTCCAAATAACAGTGAAGAGAGACGATAGGGAGTATGATGACAGTAAAGCTTTGCATACCTTTATGCTTTAAATTCCTTTTTTTATAAGTATATATGCCTTTAGAACTTTCCTTAGAGGGTAGGAAGACTTCAGTGGGTAAGGAATAAGAGACCGTTACGCGATGCAAGTGCAAGGATAAAAAGTTTGTGTAAATGATACTCTATTTTCAATCACGGAACCAGGCCCGATGGATTTCGTCGTCAACGTCTGAGCATGTGAAAGAGGCGTAGGTCAGAAACCACCAATATTCCACAATCCCAGAGAAAATCTTGAGTGTGATCAGTATTCTGGAACAAAGGAATTCGATAATGCAAAGAGCTCAAAACGTTCGGTCAGTTCGGTCAAGCGGATGAGAAAGAGTGGGTGTGGTTCGTAGGCTCAAAGGATATCTAAAATACGTTGCGAGATGACACTGGGCAATGCAAGTTTCCTCGTTCCGTTCTTGCGGATTGATGGAGGTGATCGAATGAGATAGATGTTGGGGTTTGAGGAAAGTCGAGAAGTGGGGTGCCAAAAGGAAAAAGGCTGAAGCCTCGTTATCCTGTGGTAGGTACGTACTTTTGTAAATTGCTGTGCCTTTGAAAGATAGATACCTTCCAAGTTCATCCGTTTGCGGGAGTCGATGCAGTAAGGTCAATTGTTCCGATTGAGTGGTTTTTGAAGATGTATTAGGAGCCTGTGTATCTTGTATCATGTGCATACCTGGGTACGACTTATTGAGAAAACTATGATAGCTTGAACATGGACTACCTAGTAATCATATAATGATTTATATTATACTCGTATTCAAATGATATTTACGATAAGCAATTATGGAATAAAATACGGAAAATAGTCTTGTTAAAAATCGAGGACGAATCTCAAGCTCTATCTACCAATGAAACTATCTAGCTTATATACCTTACCAAGTAGATATTACATGCACTTTCTTATTAATTTGTCTAGATCCCCAAGATCATCCTTAAAATCCATTACCATGGCTGTGGCCGCACCGAACTCTAATCCTCGGCCCGTGACCTTGTTTTTACTTTCGGAACCAATGCTCCGACAGAGTCACGTGATACAATCGCTCAGTGGTGGTCCTAGCGGGTTTCTACACAATCCTGATTTTGCTTGTTGATTGGTGCGATCACACGGTCCATGCATGACATTAATACACAGTCTCTAAAGCATCAAACCATTTCTCAAAGAGAGCTACTGCTTCCTTGGATATGGCCAAAGAGGTCTGGCCCCAGCCATCACCAACTTGCTGGACAACACTGCTGTTGGCGTTGCTGGCAGGCCAATATGTGAGATTTCCCCCGTTTGGATTTCCTGTTTTGATGAAGTTGACCCAGTAAGCATTCATGGTACTGGCGATCTCGTAGTCTTCCGCAACCCAGGGCAAATCTGTGTCGTACAGGTTGTTAAGCACGTAATTGATCTCAGATTCGTGATAAGCACCCTGGGTTTGTCCAGGCGGCGCGTGATCCCAGAAGTAGTTGTACACCGGCTTGTCGGAAGCCGTAGCCCACAGCTGCGACCATAACCAAGTACCCACGGCGGAGCGGTCTGACCACTGCCGATTGTATGCCGCCGAAGCTGAGGTGCTATCATTCGCACTGTAAATAGTCAAGAACTCGTCTGTCCAGTCGCCAAAGGTGGTGTTCATGTCTGCTAAGTAGGTAGCGAGGGTGATATTAAGGCCGTATGTCGCACCGCTTTCATCTCTAGTGTTTCCAGTCATAATGGGCACATCATTGGCTGCTCCGTTAATCAGGGTGTTCATGTATGTATCCGGCACAGCGTAGTAATCCAGGACCGCTCCGAAATCATCTTCCTGGGCGAAGGTAGAGTAGTTCAACGCACGGAGCTCCGCAAGTGAGGTGACATTATAATCCGACACATAGTTCACACCATTTTCCAGGGCCACGTCGAGACTACGGTAGTCTCGGCAAGGCTGGAACTCAAAGGATCTTTAGGGTCGCGAACACCAGATTCGATTATGGCGCCAACGATGAGTCCCTTGGTCAACGGGCTATTCACAATATGGTAGGTGGCGGCCGAACCGGCTGACTGGCCCATCACTGTAATATGTTCAGGATCTCCTCCGAACGCCGCAATATTCTCAACAATCCAGTTAAGAGCAGCATTCTGATCGAGAATTGCCCAGTTACCAGAGCTATTTGTATGGTGCGTTTCGTTCATCTCGGCTGAGAGCCATGGGTGTGCAAGCCAGCCAAAAATACCGTTCCGGTAATTGTAATTAACAAAAACGACGCCTTTATCAGCCATGCCTCCGCCATCGAAAAGAGCGTCGCGAGCACTCGACATAGCTGGATAACTCCACATGATAACGGGCAGCTTCGCATCCGTCGAGTTGGCAGCGCTCCAAATGTTCAGGCTCAAGCAGTCCTCAGAGTCTGTGTAGCCATCAGGCACGGCTCGGAATGTCTGGGGGCAGACAGGACCAAAATCTTTGGCAGCAAAAGTCGTACTCCATGGTGTGGCTGGCTGGGGGGCTTTGAAGCGATTGTTTCCTCCTGTGGTAGCAGCAAAAGGAATTCCTTTCCAGACGGCAATGTCTTTCCAGTGCTCCAGATTGACCCCAGTAGGGCTACTGTTGAAAGCAGCGTAGCCTTGCACTGGACCATAGCTAGTTGTGATCTTTTGATCGTACAGCGCGGCGCTTGCTGTGCATAGCAGAGCCGCAATCGGGACCAGGGAATGCAGAAGGCACGGCATGGCTAAGAACCGCGATTTTGACGGAGAAAGAAAGAATCAGAAAGAATGGGTTGTGGATTTCCAAAAGAGGAGAAAGCCAGCCACTCATGTGTGCCATTTGTATAACGACACGAATGACACATAAATAGATATAGAGAGCTCACCGCACTGCAAAGATGAAGGAGGCGTGCTGACGCATGTCCATTTGGTTGAGATTGCGCGGCATGGCTCTATTCTCATCGTTGCACGTCGAAATCAAGAGGAAGCAAAGGTAGCAATATTGAAGATCAGAGGGTTACTGGCACCAAGCAATACAGGTTCTCCACCGGCACATGGTTGGGGCAATGTCGGTAGTCTGATTTAGATCAGAGATCTTCACTCACTGCCTGTACCTTCATGGAGACCTTGAAGCATTTATACCTTAAAAAAGCCTATGATTTTTTTTCCAAAATCACCGTAACCTCCGTACAGGGGTCCTTATGCTGTAGGCATACGTAAGAGACACTGCGAACAACAATCCACTCTAGATTATTACCTTTCTCGCGATTACGTATCACACAAAAAGCAGAGTTCTACAGAAATGGAGCCTATTCACTTCAACTTACTAATCTTAATAGCACAATAAAGGAAGCATATATAGGTCCTTAGTACACCATTTACTTCTCTTGCATTAGGCTTAGCCATTCTATCAAAAAACAGTCTCTTAAGTTCACTATCATCTATCTTATTTCTCCGCAATTGATCTTGAAAACTTCCCGAGTCTGCCATGTTTTCCGTTCACCGGGTCGCGGTTGCTACTCTCAGCATCGCAGGTGCCGCCCAAGCGCTTTCGCTAAGCGATGTCTGTACCACAGCTTACGCGAGCGAGGCAATCCCTACAGCTGACTTCTTGCCTGGCATTACTATCGACGCGTCTTCAGTCACCACAGCCATCATTACCAACTCTACGGCTTCAAACGATTGGTACATTACCGAGGCCATTTCGTACTGTAACGTCACAATTGCCTATTCGCACAACGGTATCGCGGATGATTTGGTTCACGTCTCCTTTTGGGTTCCTGAACCAGATAAATTCCAGAATCGATATGTCACGACCGGTGGTAGTGGTCTTTCTATCAACGCTGTAAGTTTTTCAAGATAAATTTCATGGAGAAAAGTCGTTGATTTATGGATCAATATTTAGGGTGCGGTCTCGAACCCTACTGGTGTTATAGTTGGTGCCGTTTCGGGTTATACCGACGGTGGTTTCGGTACCTTCGATTCGTCTTGGGATGAGGTCTTCCTCCTTGCTAATGACACTATCAATTGGCAGTCCGTCTATATGATGGGCTACCAGGCTCACTGGGAACTCGCAACATTGGGAAAGGAGTTTACCAAGAACTTCTTCAATGTTTCTGATAAGGTTTATTCTTACTACCAGGCATGTTCTGAGGGTGGCCGCGAAGGTTGGAGTCAGCTCCAGCGCTTCGCTGATCTCTTTGATGGTGCTACAATCGGTGCACCAGCCCTTCGCTACGGTCAGCAGCAGGTCAACCACTTAACCGCGGGCGTGACTGAGCAGACTCTGGGTTATTACCCATCGAGTTGTGAAATGGAGAAGATTCTAAACTTGACCATAGCTTTCTGCGATCCCCTGGATGGGAAGACTGATGGTGTTGTCTCGCGATCAGATCTTTGCAAGCTACAATTCAACGTGAATAGCACCATCGGCGAGTCTTACTACTGCGCTGCATCATCAGGTAGTTCTTTTGTTTCAGGTAAGCGTCAGGTTGGCAGTACGAGTACCACCCCTGAACAAAATGGAACTGTCACGGCTGAAGCTGCTGTGCTGGCCCAAACACTCTGGGATGGGCTTCATGACTCTAATGGAAAGCGCGCCTACATATATTACCAACCTGGTGCCGAGTTCGGTGACGCAGATACTACATACAACTCTGAGACTGGGGAATGGGAGGTTTCCATCACAGGCCTTGGCGGTCAGTGGGTCGCACAATTTCTTCAGCTCCAGGAAGTTGATAATCTGAGCACCCTGGAGAACGTTACCTACGATACCCTGAAGGAGTGGATGATCTATGGGATGCAGAAGTATGGCGACTCATTTCAGACCACTGAGCCTGATGTTAGCGCTTTTGCGAACGCTGGTGGTAAGGTCATCCATGTTCATGGCGAACAGGACCCTTCCATCCCTACTGCTTCATCGATCCACTACTATGAATCCGTCCGTAACGTCATGTTTCCCAACATGACTTTCAACTCTAGCACAGAGGCCATGGATGATTTTTACCGCCTCTTCCTTGTTCCCGGTGGTGCTCACTGCGGAGTAAACACCGAACAACCAGATGGCGGGTGGCCCGCAACAACCCTACAAACTATGATCGAATGGGTCGAGAACGGTATCGCACCGACAACTCTCAACAACACTGGCACTGCCGCTCCCACTCTTTGCAAATGGCCTCTGCGCCCACTGTGGTCGAACAATGGCACATCTTTCGACTGTGTTTATGACCAAGCTTCGTGGGACAGCTGGATTTACGACTTCGATGCTTACAGCACGCCTATCTACTAATCAATTTACAGCATTTCTGCTTTTGCCTTCGCCCAGGCTTTATTTGACCGGGCTGAGAAAGACATAAGGGGGTAAGAGACGTTTCAGGAAGGGAGTGGATCTTACTGAAAGTTCAGTAACCCATATCGGTCGCATGATAGCAACAGCAATGGCAACGCGCTCTTATTTCAAATAGGCTGTTTAAGTTCACTACATAGAGTGATTTACTATACTTCTACTATACTTCTATTTGTAAATATATATAATTCGATTCTCATAATATAAAATCCAGAGGCATTTCCTTCCTTTCAGTAACTTCACTGCGCTACTATGTCCCGTGAATTATTACTCATATCTACAAAGGCAAAATGACTTTACTCGACGTAAGCTTTTTGTGACAATTATACCTATTTTGTGTTTGTGTATGCGAACAGTGGGATATTTGGGGAATGTGTGGACTACGAGGGAGGATAGAGATGGAGGCAGAAATTTTGAGGGAAATTTGTCTGAAGGCTCATATCTGTGAGATATTTTTGAGAGCTGGAGAAAACGAAGAAGGAGAATGGGGAGTTGGGAAAGGGTACAGAAGAAGTTCTATGAGAGAATTAAAAATTGGTAGACTAGGATCTCTTTAGCAGGACGGAAAAGACGAGATGACAAAATCACTATGTTCAAATCATCTGTTGAAAATAGATATGTTCCAGTTTTCATAGTGATTTTACGTTCTAATTTATCTTGAAACACAGATTATATAGAATAGGTAATGAGTAAAAGCGCTTTCGGAAATTTTTTATCATACATGGATTTATTACTATTTAAATAGTTATCGAACATTGAAAAGAATGTATACTTCTGATATCACAGCCAAGGAGAAAGAGAGCAAACTTCCATAAGTAGAAACGGTATCTTTCTGTCCAACAATTCAACATATCCCGTAAAACATTATCATCCAGTCGAAAGTAACTCAGCCATCACTATTTCCATCAATACCATTCATCGAATTATATTATATCCAACAAACCGAATTTTGACCCTTTGTAGAGAGAGTCCCGCCAACTCTTATTTTCGCACTCATCCTGAAGCTTATTCCGGAAACCGGGCACAATGCACTGATCGAGCTTTACAAAAACAAGCCCATTCCCACCGCCACAACCAACACACCGCCTCCAACCCACTTCTCCATCTTGCTAGCCATCCCGGTAAAGACAGACAGTGTAGCTGTCGCTGTGCTACTTCCCGTAAACGTAGCATTGCTTCCCCCACTTGTCTTCGTCGCGGTAAGCGAGGCTACCGGTGGCGTAGTAGGTGTTGTGTAGGCTGGAAGACTGACAATCTCGCTAGTTGTAACACTTGCAGGTGTGGTTGGGATATTTGAGGCACTGACAGATGCGACAGACGAAGGCGTGACGGATTGGAGAACACCGGTTAGAGAGTAGATTGCTGCGCAGGCGGTAAGATCCATGCCATCTGGACAGCACCAGACAGTGAGATCTGTGGCCTGGGTGCAATAGTAGCCTTCGGAGCAGGAGTCTTTTTTTCAAGTTAGTTTTGTGCGGGGATGTAAGAAAGATGGACATCTGTAAGCTAAAGAGAAGACATACCGCCAGTTCCAGTTGGACAACAAGTTTCCTTAACAGTAGGGTCGAAACAGTGAACATCTCCATCAGTTGAAGGACAGGTTTCATAACCTGTTCCGCATGCTTCTGCACAAGTGCCGTAGCCACTGCAGAAAGTTTGAGAGGGTTGATAACCCGATTGTCGCTTGGTGAGACCATATGCTTGATTACCAAATGGGTTGAGGGATTTGGCTGCTAACTTGTAAGGCATAGCCTCTGAGGCTGTTGCGGAAGCATAAGCTACCAGAATGAAAGCGGCGATGAAATGGGTCAAATACATTTCGAGATTTTGTAGAAAAAAGTCCAGCAATCTCAAGCGAAGGTAGTGATGAATAGGATTTTGGGGATAGAAAACGATAAAATAAGATATCTAATAACGACTTCAAAGGATATCGTCAAAGTAAGAAGAGCCTGCCTACTTATATGAAATACAATTCCTTGTATCAAGCCTCCAAGATAATGTATGCTATGCCTGCTATCAAAATTGTCGTTCACGGAAGCTACAAAAGTGGAGGCGAAGCATCATAAGTTTGAAAACACGGCTGAGATATTACAGCAAATCAGTTCTCTTTGACAAGGATTCTCGTATGTGTTGAGCCTCCATTAATGAGATATGTTCTGGGCGTACCCGATTATAAAATGAAGGGAGTAGGGACTCAACGCCGTTGATTCAAACTGGGCGGAAACCTTCACCAACGTCAATTAATGTGATATCAAAGCGTGGAGATTTCATTTGTGACAGCAAATGACAACATGCGATGGAGGATGTTGGTGGCATACTGAACTGAAAGCTCCTATAGGCTCTCAATTCTGAAATGAGACTCAAGAAGTAGACAACCGCTCAGACTTGACTGCTCTAT